CCACGTCTCACCTACTGAATCCCTCCCAAATTTAAAAACTGAATAGTTAGAATGGTCATCATTGAAAAATCTGGAGACAGCTGATGCTGGCGAGGATATGGAGAAATAGGGACACTTTTACACTGTTTGTGGAAGTGTAAATTAGTTCAACCATTGTGAAAACAGCATGGCTCTTTATAAGGACCTAGAAATAGAAATTCCACTTGACCCAGCAACCCTATTACTGAGTATATACCCAAAAGAATATCAATAGGTCCATTATAAAGACACATGCCCACATATGTTCATTGTGGCACTGTTTACAATAGCAAAGACCTGGAACCAACCCCAATGCCCACTGATGATAGACTGGACAGGGAAAATGTGGCACATATACACCATGGAATACCATGCAGACATAAAAAAAAAACAATGTCTGTGTCCTTTGTAGGGACATGGATAAATCTGGAAACCATCATTCTCAGCAAACTAACACGAGAACAGAAGATCAAACACTGCATGTTCTCACTTATAGGCAGGTGTTGAAAAAAGAGAACACACGGACACAGGGAAAGGAGCATCACATGCTGGGGTCTGTTGGGGGGCCAGAGGAGAGACAGTGGGGAGGTGCGGAGGTTGGGGAGGAATAACATGGGGAGAAATGCCAGGTATAGGTGACAGGGTGATAGAGGCAACAAATCACATTGTCCGGTATTTACCTATACAACAATCCTGCATGATCTGCACATGTACCCCAGAATATAAAGTACAACTAAAAAAAAATACTTTAAGGAAAAAATAATTGGATAGTATCAAGTGCTGACAAGGTTGTAGAGTATAAGCACTTACCTACTGCCAGTATCTAAAACTGTAAGTAAGTACAACTGTTTTGCTTCTATTAGCCACGCTTCAAGACTCCTCTGTCTTATTATCTTATTCTCTTTTGGATTCTTTCAGTGTCCGTAATACTGAGTCTCCTTTATTATTTTCTATTCAGTGTGCACTCACTTTGAAGCATGGTATACATAACCTGCTTTATATTGCCTTTTTAATAATTTCATTCCATGATTATTCACCTTCATTTTCCCAAATAGGTTGCCAAATTCTTGAGGGCAAAAATGTATTTCAAATGTGTATTTTATATGTCATTGTTATTAATCCTCTCAGAATCCAGCACAATTCTTATAAAGAATATAGTTAAAGTCATATTTGTAAATGAGATTGAAAGATAATAATACAATTTATTATCCTAAATGGAGTAGAGAAAATATGGACAGGAGAAAAGAGGTTTCTACCATCTTTGTACCCAAAGGTGAAAATTATATATATATATATATATATATATATATATATATATATATATATATTATATATAATTTTGTATATATATATATATTATATATAATTTTGTATATATCTATATATATACATTTTGTGTGTATATATAGCTTGGATGCACTGAGAATAAGGACCTACAGTCTAATAACAGCTTCAGTTTACTCCTAAAATGAAAAGAAATGAGAATAAAAGCTAACATTTATGACTTGGAACAGAGCTGGGGAAGAGCAAGGGTAGAGGGTAAGATCACACAACTAAAGAATATTAGAGCAAAAATAGGCTAGAGGCAAAACTGAGGATCAATCATTTTGTCCTTGAGCATTCTAAGGCCCAGATAAGTTATGTCAGGAGAATGTCTACGTACTTTTTCACAAACCCTATGTCTCTGATCACTATATAGCAAATAGGAGGTTTTTGAAGAGCAATTAAACAAGGAAAGTAGAATATGTTACTATTTGGGCATAGATAAGATATTAGCCTTAGAAACATAAAAGAAAACATGTAGCTTTAAGGAGAAATTTGCCCAAGATTAGAAACAATAATCTAGAATAGATATTTAAAAACTCTTAAGCCAATGATACTGCTGTAGGCAGTCAAACCACCCCTTCTCCCTCCAAGGAGGAGCTAGGTTTATGCTAGAGTAGCCAGCCAGGTTAGACCATGTGCCCACTGTGTCACTGATCCAGCCTTGCTATAAACTGGTAACTAAGTAGAGATCCTGAGGATGCATTTCCACTGACATCATGTTTCCGAAGTACTCCTGTCTATCACTTTTATTCTTTGGATAGTTATATTCTCCTGAGTGGCCAGAATGAGATTAAATTTGTAGCAAAGAGCTACCAAAAATTTTGTGAATTCTCTTGCAACACGTTCAGTTGTCTAAGCCAAATGCAGTCAATTGGTAGTCAGTCATATTCTACTGTTATAATACACATTATTTTATATTGTTTGGTAACAAAAAGCACTGGATCAATTAGAAAGCTCTCCAGTTTCATCTTTTCAAGAGGAACTTGACTTTTATTATAATTTTTTTAAAGATAATCTTAGATGTAGGTTTGAATTAATAATAACTCAGCTTTCTGAAAGGACAATTTTGCTTAAATATGCTCATAGTGCTTAAATATGCCTCACACTCATTAAATAATATACAAACATATACATCAGATAAGTGTAGAGGAAACACAGAAACCATTGAGATGCAATTATTCTTTAAAATTTGTCTTTATGTAAAATTATGTGTTCAGATTCTGAGAGGCAGGTAACAGAGTTGATCCAATGATAACATGTAACTTCAGATTATTATTTAATAAAGAAACATGACCATCTGTGTTAAGGAATAACTCACATTCACATTAAACCTCTTTAGACAATTTACAGTGGGACGTGTTTTCCATTGCGCTTTTTTTATGAGTTCATGTTGCAGGGTTAGTTGCAAATGTGGATGAGGTGGTGCTTTGGAGAGTTAACTGTGTTGCAAGCCTTGATTCTTCCATTGCCTTTTTGTGTGATTTCAAGAAAATAACTTACCTTTCCTATGTATTTCATTTGTCAAACTGTAAAATACTTGCATTTAAAGCATTTGTGAGACAGGTGAGAGACAGCAAGCATTTTCAGCTCTTCAGATTATATATGGCATACAAATAGAAAATACAGACGTCAGTACGCATTGAACAGAATTTTGCTATGTCAACTATAAATAGAGAAATATATATTTGGCTACTTAAATTGATCATTGGTTGAAACATTTATTTCAAAAATGAGCTATACTTCTGAGATATTGTCATCCAGTCATTGCAACAGACTTGACCTCCAAAAGGCAACTCTCTGATTATTACTGTGAAGCATGAATTATGTGAACTCTGTTTTTGTGTTTGTGTTAAAAAGTGGCTTTTTATTTGCAAGATATTAGCTAACCTGAATTACTGAGTGATACACACACAATCGACCCTATATTTACTACATATGAGAATATCATAATATTGACTCCAGCTCTGAGCCAGGAATGTGGTTGTTATAATCTTCCTTCCTTTTTTTAAAAAAAATCATTTATGCTTTATCTCCAGGTCACATATTATGGTAGCTGTAATTGAATCTATTTTGTATATTCAATGGCATCTTCACTAATGGCTTTCTGTGGCAGTGACTATCACTACTTTCACAAATAAAGCGTTTTAAAAAACTTTTCTTTTTAAAATAAAATTATCCAAAACTCTTACAGATGTTGATGGGTTTTCAAATCTTCTCAGAATTATTTCGATTTGCATGTTTTATGTAACACATAAGACTCATTGACACTGTAGCTACAGATAATTCTAAAACATATTTTTAAAGTTGGAAAATACAAGTGTATATAAAGATTTTCTTATGCTTTTCATAGTCCACATTTTATGAAAACATGTGAACAGATAAATCTATGATAAAGTTATGGAATAAAATAATGTTAAGTGAGTTGACTAAGCTAATTATAAGTTTTATTTTCTGTTAACATAGTCCTTTGAATATAATAGATATTATTAAATTGTCTTATTTGTGTTTCTGTACTCCAGGTATTAAAAAAATTATTTAGATAGTCACAAGAATGACATTATAGTATAAATATCTTTTTAGATAATTAAATATATCTTGCATTTTGTACTCAAGGATATGAATTGTTTTCAAGTGTTTTATAGTTTCTAATTGAATCTTTAGTATCCTAAGAAGCCTAAAATTTGCAATAGCCTTGCTATCTTTTTAAAACATCTATGAACACAAAGTCATAGAAGTTCATGCATACTGTTTGATACCTATGATTTTTGAGCTTTAATTTCTGACATTAAGAGGTCAGAATTTAATGTTGGGAACAGAAAGGAAAACATTACATCTCTGGGCCAAATGCGAATCTAAAATTCATTCATCTCTCTTTAATTCTTTCTTTATCCAGTAGTCCTAGTCAGAGACTTAGGTTGTTTCCATAGTCTGGTTATTGTGAATAATGCTGCAATGAACGTGGGAGCACAGATATCCCTACAACATGCTGATTTTATTTCCTTGGGGTACACATTCAGAAGGGGGATTGCTGGGTCATATGGTACTATGGGAGAGAAAAGTGATTGTAAAGTAGTACTCATCATTTCTGGAGGTGCCAACACTATCTGGCATTAAAATGGCCAGCAGATCTTTATCTCAAGAGAACTCCAAGCTCATAGTGGGGTTAAAGAGCAATCAAAATACCTCCTACCATGGAAATCCCACTTTCACTCCATCCTTCTGCTTAGGTACACCAGTCACACCTGTGGCCTTACTTCACTAGGAAGAGGACATGTCACTCTTTCAGTAAAACAGACAGAATAAGCCTGAGAGACTGTATGTCCTTGATGATGTAGAGTTTAATTATAGAATACAGTAAGATTTCAGACTATCTTAAGATGAAGATTTGCATTGTTATAGCTTAGCAACTTCTGTTTCCAAAACAGTATAAATTGGTTATGACCTTGGAGTCTTTATATTACAGTTATATATTTTCTTAATAAAAGACTTATAAATGCAGTTCTTACCAGAGTACACCTTTTTAAATTCTGAAACAAACACCTCATAATTAGAACAGTTGGGAGATGCTTTACTCAGCTCCTATATTTTATTTATAAAACAGAAGAAAGATATTTGAGACACTGGATCAAGACTGTTCAAGTTTGAAACACACTTACCATATGTATAATGTTCATCTAGTAACTTCACTTCTTGGTGCTTCAGTGTCATTATCTGAAAAATGAGAATGGAAATAATACCTACTTCAAAGGTTTATTGTGAAGATTAAGTTCAAGAATACATGTGGAAAACTTGGAATAGTGCCTATCATTTAATAAGTGTTCAATAAATTCTAGCTGTTACTTTTACTATAATTTTTATATCGTATATACTGAAGGTATACAACATGATGTATTGATAAACATATGTACAGTGAAACGATTGCCAAAGTCAAGCATATTAACGTATCCATCTCCTCACATGCATACTTTTATTTTGTAGTAAGAGCACCTGAACTCTGCTCAGGAGATTTTTCAGTATACAATACAATATTATTAATTATACTCCTTATGCTGTAAATTCTGTCTCTAAATTTATTCATCCTACATAACTGAACCTTTCTATTCTTTGACCTAAAACTTCTGATTTCCTTCCCCACACTGCCCTAATCCTGTTACAAAGGTGCTAATTTTATTTTCTTTGGTGTATTTTCCCAGAAAGGGAATCACAGAGTCTTCTGGTAGTCTTATTTTTAATTTTTTGAGAAACCTCCATACTATTTTCCATAATGGCTGCTATCAATCTATATTCCCACCTACAATGTTGGTTATCTTTTTTTCACATCCTCACCAACTTTTGTCTTTTTGTCACTTATCTTGTGTCTTTATGATAATAGGCATTTTGACAGATGTGAGGTGATATCTCTTTGTGGTATTGATTTTCACTTTCCTGATGACTAGTGACCCTTAATATCTTTTAATAAACTATTGTACTATTATCGTTTCTGAAAAAGGGGTCCTTCTATCTCTTATTTAAATCATTCTTTTTTCTACCATTGAAAAAATTATAACAAATATATTTCATAGTCCACAGGAGATTAGAAAGATTAAATCATATAATTAGATATACACTTGAAGATGGGGGAGGACCAAAAAAGGTGGGTGAGGTCCCAAACATGGAAGAAATAACAAGTAGCTGTCTGTTAACAGAGGCAAGTAAAACGGAACAAAATTAGTACAAAAATTATCATTGCCTACATATCTAGGTAATCTCAGGCCATTTAGTTCAAAAAGCATAGCACTATTTCAATACTTACTATGGGAATGAAAATAATAAAATAGAGTAAGTAATATTTTATAACGAATTTCTTGGGTTATTAAAATAGCTTAAATTATTTTCAGTGCATTATGTTAAAAATAGCAATGTATCTCTAAAATATGTTAGTGAGAGCTTATTTCAGACATTGTTTATTAAAGAAAATTACCTAATCAGATGCATTGTTCCATTATAGAATCACATATTGCATTTATACTTACATAACCTGTCTCTTCCCTGCACTTGCATTTTCTGCCTATTCAGGTCTCACACCCAGCTGTAAGTTTCCCTGCAGTTATATCTGGGCATCTCCAGCAGCTGTCTCCTGTGCTGGCTGTATACATCCAGTTCAACGTGATGGTGCTTTATCTGCTCCAGTGCCACTCAGGGATATCAATGCTAAGTCCTCTCCTGTCTGAGAGGACTTAGTCATCACCAGTCTCCTGGGATTCACCATGAGCCAAATACCCACGGCAGGGACATTCCCTTCTCCACTCCAGCATCAACGTTGTCCTAATTCCTCAGAAACACTGCTCCCTGGAGGCCACAATGAATTAAAGCCACACTGTGCCCATGCTCCTTCATGCTACTTTTGTCAAAATATTTTTTAGAAATTTATACATAGTTTACTGAAAACTTATTATATACTATATATATTACAGACTTGAAGGATATGACTGTTAAATAGACCTGGTTCCTGGCTCAGGGAAGTGGAAGATGAACACGAGTAAATTAACCATTAAAATATAAGTGAGCACTTATGGATCTATAGCTGAGGCTCAGATATTGTTATTTTAAACTCTTCCCTTATTACTCAATCTGCCTCCTCTCCAGTATCAGGTTACTAAAACCCAATGACGAGAAGGGTAGTTTACCTTTGACACTCAGAGAGGAGGCTGTACAATGGGAGGGTGCACAAGTGCAAGAATCTGGAAAAAAATTGCTGGATTGAAATCAACCAACATTTCCCACTTTATACAATGATGCCAAATAATGGTACCAAACTGGTTTTACCAATTTATATTCCAACTGCAATATTTGGCAATCCACCTTGTCTTTTTTACTTCATCAACATTATTCATTTTCTTTTTTAACATTTGACAATCTCTGAAGAAAACATGCTTTTTAAAATTTTCACTATACGTAGATAGATATGCATATATCTCTATGTGAAAGTATATACAGTTTATATAGGACTGTTCATAATTGCGTAATCTATCATATCATAAGGCAAATACCCATATAATTTTAATACCTGCATCAAGTAGAGAATATTCCTAGCACTTCAAAGACACATCCATGTTACTTCACAATGAAAATCTCTCTCTTGAGTACCATGTCATACTCTCTTGAGAAGTAATGTTAACACTGTATCATTCTCTTCGCATGTGATTCTTCTTCACTCCAATCATTTAATTCATCTGTTCATTTTAAGACAAGTGTTTTAAACCTAAGAGCAGGTCTTTGCATTTCCCACAGGTTCATTTTTTTTTTTTTTGGAAACGGAGTCTAGCTCTGTTACCAGGCTGGAGTGTAGTGGTGCCATTTCAGCTAACTGCAAACTCCACCTCCTGGGTTCAAGTGATTCTCCTGCCTAGCCTTCTGAATAGCTGGGATTACAGGTGCCTGCCACCACACCTGGCTAATTTTTGTATTTTTAATCGAGAAGGATTTCACAGTGTTGGCCAGGATGGTCTCGATCTCGACCTCGTGATCTGCCTACCTTGGCCTCCCAAAGTGCTGGGATTACAGGCGTGAGCCACCATGTCTGGTCCCACAGGTTCTTGAAGAAGCAATTTTAATTCTATTTGTTTTTGTTTCTTTCTGTTTTTGTTTTATTTATTGAATTGTTCCTCAACTTTAAGCTTTCTTTCACTCAAATACTTACCTAGAGTGCTGACAAACCAATTCTACTTTCTAAAGACAGTCAAGGTGAACATTGTTTATTCCAATGCAATTCTGGTCGTATTTAAACACCTCCATATTCATGAATCCTATAAGGATGCTAAGGACTTAGAAGGGTCTTTTCATTTTCACAGCAGTATTTGGCATACACAGACAGGTCAGGTATTATATGAAGATAATAAAAATAAAGGAGCTTACCACAAAGAAAGAACCTATTATTAATTGTTTGAGAGAGACTCTCCTTGTAGTGAAAGAAATATGCTGCTTCCTGCAGGATTTCACAGGATCATATTGCTAGGAGAGAACCTAAGAATCATCTAATCCAATCCCTCAAGGTTTAGGGAGGTGAACTGATGTACTGTTGACTCTTGCGTTTATATTTGACTTTTCTCTATCAGGAAAACAACAACAACAACAACAAAAAACAATCAAGGGGTAGAAATTATAGACATATGAAGGGATGTTAATATGCTTTTATTTTTAATTAAATAACTAAATACAGGCAAAAAATACAGCAAACTAAAAATGCAGACTTCATAATAAACACCTAAAAAATCAAAATCTAATATTGACAGTATTCATTTATTGTATTTTCTTTAATTTTTTTATATAAATATAAAGTTAGAATTTCTCTTATTCTCTAAAGCCAGTTGCTTTGTCTTTCTCTGAAGTCACCACTGACATATATTAATAGTCTTCTAGTTCTTTTAAAAGTACTGTTGCCTACATTTTAATTTTCCCTTTATTTTTGATATGTTTTAAATATTTATGAATGTAGTCATTTTTATATACTTTCTAGAAATCACATTTCTCTCAATATTCTTCTTTGAAATCCATAGTTATATCTAGATGTAATTTATTTCTTACAAGAAACATATACTTAATTATAGGAACAGATTTAATTTTATTTATTCATTTTTTTTTTCAATTAGTAGACATTTTAATTGCTTTGAAATTTTACATATTGTAAATAATGTTGCCATGAAAATTGTTTGTGTCTCTGAGATGATACACTTAATATTTTTATTTTTTAAATGTTTATTTTAAGTTCAGGGATATAAGTGCAGATATGTTGTATAGGTAAACTTGTGTCATGAGGATTTGTTGTACAGATTATTTTATCATCCAGGTATTGACCTAGTAGCCATTGGTTGTTTCTCCTGATCCTCTCTTTTCACCTCCACCCAAAATCCCCACTGTGTGTTGTTTCCCTCTATGTGTTCATGAGCTCTCATAATTTAGTTTCCACTTATAAGTGTGAATGTGTGGTATTTGGTTTTCTGTTGCTGTGTTAGTTTGCTAAGGATAATGGCCATCAGCTCCATCCATGTTCTTGCAAAGGACATAATCTTGTTCTTTTTTATGACTGCATAATATTCCATAGTTTATATGTACTACATTTTCTCTATCCAGTTTATCACTGATGAACCTTTAGGTTGATTCTATATATTTGCTATTGTGAATAGTGCCGCAATAAACATACATGTTCATGTGTTTTTATAATAGAATAATTTATATTCCTTTGGATATATATTTATATTCCTTTGGATATAATAGAATAATTTACATTCCTTTGGATACATATCCAGCAATGGTATTGCTGGGTCAAATGGTATTTCTGTCTTTAAGTCTTTAGGGAATCACTACACTTGCTTCCACCATAGTTGAGCTAATTTACATTCCCACCAACAGTGTATAAGCATTCCTTTTTCTCTACAACCTCACCAGCATGTTATTTTTGACTTTTTCATAGTAGTCATTCTCGCTGGTGTTAGATGGAATCTCATTGTATTTGTTTCTTTGTTTGTTTTTGAGACAGAGTCTTTCTCTGTCATCCAGGCTGGAGAGCAGTGGCACTATCTCGGCTCACTGCAACTTTTGCCTCCTGCGTTCAAATGACTGTGGTGTCTCAGCTCCTGAGTAGCTGGAATTACAGACAGACAACGCCATGCCTGGCTAATATTTGCATTGTTCGTAGAAATGGGATTTCACCATGTTGGTCAAGCTGGTCTTGAACTACTGACCTCAAGTGATTCACTCCTTCTGATCTCTCAAAGTATTGGGACTACAGGTATGAGCCACTGTGCCTGACCTCTTTGTGGTTTTAATTTGCATTTCATTAATGATCAGTGATGTTGAGTTTTTTCATATGATTGCTGGCCACATATATGTCTTCTTCTGAAAAGCAACTGTTCATATCCTTTGCCGACTTTTTGTGATTTGTATTTGAAAATTTGTTTAAGTTCCTTATAGATGCTGGATATTAGACATATGTCAGACACATAGTTAGCAAAAATCTTCTCCCATTCTATAAATTGTCTGTGTGTGTGTGTGTTTGTGTGTGTGCATATACACACATATCTCAACAGAGTAAACAATTTATACAATGTCTATATATATATATATAGACATTTTGTTATTTATATGTCTATATATATATGTCTATATATATATAGACATTTTGTTGCTTTTGTTGCAATTGCTTTTGGCGTCTTCATCAGGAAATTTTGCCTGTGCCTGTGTCCTTAATGGTATTGCCTAGGTTGTCTTCCAGGGTTTTTATGCTTCTCAGCTTTACATTTAATTCTTTAATCCATCTTGAGTTAATGCTGTATATGGTGTAAGGAAGGGTTCCGGTATCAATCTTCTGCATGCAGCTAGCCAATTATCCCAGCACCATTTATTAAATGGGGAATCCTTTTCCCATTGGTTGTTTTTGTCAGGTGTGTTGAAGATAAGATAGTTGTGGGTGTGTGGTCTTATTTCCGAGTTCTCTATTTCATTCCATTGGTCTACGTGTCTGTTTCTAGTACCATTACCATACAGTTTGGTTACTGTAGCCCTGTATCATGGTCTGAAGTTGGGTAATGTGATGCCTCCAACTTCATTCTTTTTGCTTATGATTGTCTTGCCATTTGGGCTCTTTTTGGTTCCACATGAGTTTTAAAATAGATTTTTCTAGTTCTATGAGGAGAATCAATTATAGTTCAGTGAGAATAGCATTGAATCAATTAATCGTTTTAGGCAGTATGACAATTTTCACGATACTGATTCTTCCTATCCATTAACATAGAATGCTTTTTTATGTTTGTGTCATTTCTGATTTCTTTGAGCAGTGGTTTCTAGCTCACCTTATAGAGATTTTTATCTCCCTAGTTAATTGTATTTCTAGGCATTTTATTCTTTTTATGGCAATTGTGAATGAAAGTTCATTTTGGCTCTTGGCTTGACTGCTGTTGGTTTATAGAAATGCTAGCAAATTTTGCACATTGATTTTTATATCCTAAGACTTTGCTGAAGTTGCTTATCATCTTAAGAAGCTTTTGGGCTAAGATGAGAGGGATTTTTCGATTTAAAATCATATTGTCTGCAAAGAGGGATAGTTTGACTCCCTCCCTTCCCATTTGAGCACTTTTTATTTCTTTTGTTTGCCTGATTGCCCTGGCCAGAACTTCCAGTACTATGTTGAATTGGAGTGGTGAGAAACGCATCCTTGTCTCGTGCCGGTTTTCAAGAGGAATACGTCCAGCTTTTGCCCTTTTACTACGATGTTGTGTGGGTTTGTTATGGATGACTCTTATTATTTTGAGGTATTTTCCTTCA